TGCGACCCTGCAGCAATCTTATGCTCTTGGGGCTTTACTGCGACAACATTTTTCTAAACGATTCCGCGGCCGCTTCTGCGATGAGTTTCGGAGCCCATGCACAAATATTGCTTCCACGAAAGGGCTGAGAACTTCAAACTGTGCGCTGAATGCATGCGTTTATGTTGAGTTAATGGCACGCAACGGCAGCTACCCACGCTTCCGCCCGCACAGGTTTGTGCACCTTCAAGTGCGCCAGCCAGGCTTGCTCCCGAACCATTCCGCACTCCAAGATACTGTAGCAAGCGCATTGCAGAACCTAAGTACATAAGTTCAACTGGAACTCTAGCTCTGGAAGCTTGCAAAATGTGCTTCTTGCCACATCCACATACGCATGCAGCACACCTTCAGAAACGGTACAACAAGCGCACGAATACCGCACAACCGCAACTACAATGCAGCCCACGCGTTCTTCATGAGGTGAGATGATGAGTGACACAACAAAACATGCAAGTTTGGATGGCTTACAGATGCAGGCAAGGGGGCAGAGAAACCAGACCCCTCCGCACCTCCCTGTGGAGTCGCACCATCTCTCGACGCAGTTCCTGCTGGGCCTCAGAGCAGTCAGTTCTCAGACTACAACCGGATGCCTGCCTATAGAGCTTGCATTACCTAACAATTCTAACAGCAAAAATGTATCATGGCGTAGCAGCTTCACCAACTTGAGAACGAGTTGCCAACACTGCTGAACTCACCGTCAGAAGTAACGAAGTAACGAAAATTGTCTTCAAAGTTGTTTCGAGGCTCAGTGTGCCTTCATCTATGTTACTGCCAACCTCTGGATAGCTCTAAAACAACCAAAAGCTTAACTTAGATGCTTGTACAAGGTCTGAGGCCTTGGCAGCCTCGCGAAGCTCATCGTACAGGTCTGCGCGGGCCTCCAACAGCCCCAAGTGATTCAATAACTACCTATAGCATACATCCCCTTGTTCACTACCACAATCCCAAAATATACCCTAGTATCGTATAATAGTTTCCATTTTCTTTTCCCCTATATATAGATATATATATATATGGTACCCCCCCCCCCAAAGATC